CATCGGGAGAGCATCGTGGAACTGCGTGCGCCCCACGTCTTCCATGTAGTGCAGCTGTCTCCGACGATAAGCAACCAGTATAACAATGCCCAAAATCAGAAGTGCCAAAACAATCACAACAATGAGAATGGTGATAAATAATTTCCTTGACGGCTCCTTTTCAATTGCCTCCACACAGGCTTTGATGTCACCCCACGCATCGGACACCATGCTGCAGGCAATTACCTTCCGGCACCACGAATTACACTTCCCACCGGGGAACAATTTATCACTTCCCACGCCGCCACCACACAACCTCACATATTTTGCCCACAATTTGTCATCGGTAACGAGCCTCATTGCAGATGCCCGAAGCGACGCGGTATCGGTCAAATCACCAAATAGGTCTTCCACAAGAACCCCATTAGTCCAATCGTAATCGAAATAGCGCTGAGTGAGGCTTTTCAAGGAGAGGCTTTTGTTGTCCAGTTGTGCAATGAAATAAGAAGGGGCATTCCCATAAAGGGGTGATATTGCCGGAACAATAAAAAACGGCACACCCCCTGAAAGTGCCTGATAGTAAAATAGATGTGTATGCCCATACAGTTGAACCGTCACTGTATCTGAGTACTCCCTCATCAACTGGTTAAAGCGCTTCTGATACAATGGCTTCCAGTACATATCCTCTGCGACGGAGGTAAAATTCCCACCTTCAAGCACTTTCCATATGTTCGACATTGGGGGAATGTGGCTCATGATAATGACCTTTGAATTTGCTTTCCGTGCATTCTCCAGCTCAGTGGTCAAAAATTTAAACTGACTGCACGGATCTTCTTCGCCATCTGGAATAGCGGGCACAATGGTGTAGCACCAAAGAAGAGTATGAAGCACGATGACTCGCAATTTTGGAGAAACAACACGCAAATAATATCCGCATTGCTGGAACTGTTGGGCTTCGTCTGCCATGAGCACGCCATTTTTCTGCATGACGGAAGCCTCTTCCAAAATAACCCGGGATGGAATTCTTGTTACATCGAAGTAGTAATCCGGCACCACGTCATTGTTCCCCAGGGCAACCAACACCGACGGTCTCCCACTGGGGGTCTTGTTCGGCGAAACTGCAGCAAGTCTTTCAATGACGAACCCAAATGTAGCAGTAACAGTAGTTTTTAGGGAAGGAAAATCGTGCCTTTGCAGGTCACCCGTCACAAATGTGCAGGCCGATTTACGTGTTGCCATATCTGAGGCCCAATATTTGACAAAGTCAGCCGAAGATTCGCATCCTCGCCTAACAAGGGGCAGGCCTGCGGACCGACAGGCCGTACCAAATGCGTCAGGCCCCCCATAGAAAGGATCGTAGTGTATATCCGATGCAAAAGTAACTTGCATGCCTCTGCAGCATCCGGGAAACAGGAAAAACGATAGTAAAAACAAAAGTAAAGACAACTGTGCCATTTTCGCTTGCCTTCCTTTGACTCCTTATCAATTCAGCACAGAGAGAAAAAAGGCAACAGTCGTTTCGCAGGCGTCTGCCTCTGTTGCCCCGGCCTAGTCAAGTGGCCTCCTAAGACCCCGCCCGCACTCAGGTTTATTCCACACCCACCGCGTGGAGGTGCACTCAGACAGGGGGGCGCTCAATGCAAAGCTGCCCCTCGCAAACACTCCCTTATTTGTTTCTCCTCCATTTTTTCACCATTTTCACTCGTTTTTACTTGGTGGACAATGGCTGCACCCACAGTCACTCATTTCCCTCTCGGGGGCGGGTGAGATCCCACATAAACACACATGCACCAAATAGAGAACTGAGAAAACAAACGCAAAAAAAAAAAGAAAAGCGCATCCTTTTGCTCACAAGAGACACCCACTTCTGACCGACGTTTATCAAAAACGACGCGGCGCACGCACGCGAGAAGCGGCGCGGTCGGTGGGGTGGAATAAAAAAAAATTGCGCGTGTGGCAAATACAAAAAGATGAAATCGACGGCCATCGAGCAAAAAGGGTGAGTGACGGCAAAAAAAAAAAAAAAAATTAAACTGGCACAACAGAAAGCCGCATCAATCCACAGGGCGGGCCATTCCCAAATATCCTCTCTCGTCGTCTACGCATGGAAGGAAGTGCGACCACTGTGAAGGCGGTTTCCGCTAACTGAACTCCTCCTCTGTGTGTTCCAAAAAAAGCCTGTGTCGCCCCTTTCCCGCTCCCACAACAACAGGTGGGTGAAATATAATCTTGTAGTGCGATATCATGTAGCCAAAGGAGAACGTAATCATCAGCATACCAAAACAAGTAAAAACAATTGCCAGGATTAACCCAAGACGCTGCGAGGGCAAATCTATGGATGCACAACGCTCAATTGCCATTTTTGAATAATAAAGCGAGGCGCACGCAATCACTCGACGACACCAAAGACTACAGGCACCCCTTTCAGTTAAAAAACGACCACCAACACGCATCGCTGCCAATTTTTCCCATTTTTTTTCGCTCTCGGTAATAAGCAATAAATCCTTGGGTAAAGATTCACCCATTTCTCTTAGTGGTGCCCCAATGGCATCCTCTAAGCTTTCTCCTTCAACCCACTTACCGTTCTCGCTCAAGTATCGTTGCTTTAGCGTGACAACTCTTCCTGTATTAGTGTCTAAAGTAGCTCGCAAGTAAGATGGATTGCTGCCTGTCACTGGAGAGATAGGAGGAACGATGTAAAGCGGGGGGCCCACCTCAGGTGAATCCACAAAAGCAAAGCTGTTCGTGTGCCCAAAAAACTGCGCTGCAATGGAAAATCGATACGTAGCAATTATTCGAAAGTATGCTTCAGTAAAATCCTCACGCCAGTAAGATTCAGCTTCTTGAACACTGCTCTTGCGCAGAGCATCCGCTACATTAATAACAGGAGGGGTGTCACCAAGAATGATAACGCTCCGACCGCGCTGTTTGGCTTGCTCAATGGCGCCTTGAAGAAAGGGAAATTGCCCACATGGATCCACATCACCTACTCCAAACCCCGGTCGTAGCGCATTTGACCAAAGCAACGTGTTCAAAGAAATCACACGAAGCTTCGTGCCATTCAAATCCCGAAAAAAGTACCCGCAGTTCCCCAGCTTTTTACTCTCCTGGGAATTTAAAAGCTCATACAATTCCAACAGATTTAGTAGTCGAGTAAAATGCGGCTGCTTCCCTTCTGGAGTAAAGGAGTTAGCAGGAATAAAATCCGTGCCGCCAAAAGACAGAGCTACTGTATATGTAGCTCCCTCCTTTTTCAAATAACTTTCCCTACTACTATTAGCTATTTCCACCACCACATCTTTCATCATGCTCTCAATTTCAGTCGTGGCAATCGTATCTGTGCCGTGGCGAAGCAAACCGCCCGTAATCAATGTGAACGACTCCTTCCACTTGGATACATCGCGCATAACGGAACGTATAAGCTTCAGAGGGGAATCGCACCCAGGCGTTGCAATGGATGGCTGGCCCTGGTTACACACGCCATACCCACCCGGTTTGCCGAAAAGCACATCATAGTGCAAATTCCCCAAAAGCGATAATGAGACTTTTCGTAAATCGGGGTTGGTCATCGCATTTGAGGCTTGCACCGTCAGCCACTGTGACACACAACACTGAAGAAGGAGAACCGTTAAAGATATCCAAAATATTGCATAAAAAAACGCCATATTGGTTTTAAAACTACTTCTCTTTATTGATTTATTTATTTTTTTGCTTGCGCTTGTGCGCTGTGTTTAAAAATTGAGGGGCCTCTGGTTTAGTGCTTGCAGTCCTCTATTTGTACGCTGTAGTCTATCACCACCAGCACCCACCCCTGGAAGACAACCCGATTTCTGGCAAACGACGAAACACAGAAAAAGCACAACAGAAGAAAAGTAACCGCCAACATAAAAAAAAAAAAAAAAAGAGAGAGAGAAACAAAACCAATTTCAACATCACCAGCCACGTGCTCATTTCCAAGAGCCACCGGAGACAACCGGGAGAATCCAGCCCTTTCTCCCCAACCACTCCGCCTCACCCGGTCAAAGATGCATAAGGGAAAAAAACGATATCGATAAGGCGATATTGAGAGATACACGTGTGGCGTGTCGTCTCAAAAGAAAAGATCACACACCGTCCCCCGGTTCGCTTAAAGCAAAAAAAAAAAAAGAAAGAAAAAAATTTGTCACAGTCAAAATAAATCAATACAGTAATATGGACGCTTTTCCCTCCCCTTATTTCAATGACAGCAATTGACCTGTTGCTTCTCCCACGAGTGAGAGGATACCTCCATTTGCCGCAAGCGTGCCTACACTCTACAAAATATATATATATATACCTCGCTGCTGCAAGATTTTTTTTCTTTTTTTGGAGAGAGAAGGAAAATGACCCCCTTACAACTTCTTCGTGTTAGACATGTAAAGAGAAAGAAGACTTCTTAAATCCCTTATCTCACGCTTAAGCCGCATTGACTCCGCATCAGCCTCAAGAAGCCGGCTTCCCACCTTCAGTAGATCCTCCTTGAGATTCACCACGACAACATCCTGCTCTGTAGCGCACACTGGAATATCAGGCACCGCCAACTGCCTCAGTTCAAGTTTCTCGACAGTGGCTTCTAGCGACCTCACCCTCTGCCGCAAAATTCCAATGAACTCACGGGCCTTCTCAGATTCTGTCTTCATTTTTTTATTCACTGCCAGCAACTCCAACACGGTCTGCTGGCTTCTCTTATAGGCCTTCTGCAAGTCATTCGCCTCCGGAGAAACATTGACCGAAGGATTGAGGTGTGTGGAAAGGGATGTCAGAGCATTCGAAGTATGGGATGGCTCCTCAGAGGCGCGCACTTCTGTCAACACAACGCTCAAGTCTAATTCTTCCGTTTGGCTTGCCACTTCTATTCTTTCTACCCTCTGACGCTTCATAGAATCATAGAGTTCCTCTATTTCTTTCGTGCGCTCACTGAGAACGATATCGCGAGAGTTGAGTTTAGACTTCATATGCTCTCGCTCTTCCACTATTGTTTTCACCTGTTGCTTCAAACCGGCAATGGTTGTTCGCAGTTCTGTTTTCTCAAGCTCCCAGGCCTCCTTTGCCTTGGCAGCATTGTTACGCTCAATTTCAAGCTCCCGGAGCAAGTTGGTGGTGGTTGTTTCCTCTTCTTTCTTGAGGTGAAGCATTTTTACCTCCTGCTCACTTATTTTCTTGGCGAGCCGCACACGTGTGTCGTCAAGGTAAATACGCATTCCCTGTAGCTCCAACTCATATTGACGCTGCATTTCTGCAAAGTTTGCTGCCACACGCAAATTTTCAGCTCGAAGCCTTTCATTTAGCTCAGAGTAACTCTCTAGAGACGCCAGGGTGTCCCGTAGTTGTGCCCCCGTGTGAGAAAGCTGCCCCATGAGAGCCTCATTGGCGGAAGCCAAGGCCTCGATCGCTTGACGATGTTCTTTTTGGCGTGAAACATCCCCGGAACGCTCATCGCACCCAGACTCATCATCTCGAAGTTGCTGTAGCCGCGTCAATTCCCGTACTGCATGCATTGCGGCGTCCTGTGCAACCTCCATAATTCTCTTCGCCTCCTCCTGAGAACGCCGTTCCCTCTCAATTGCAAGAAGGCGCTGATGTGCCTCAAACTCCCTTGCTTGCTTTTCCTCTTCAAAAAAAATGCATTGCTGCTGTTTTTGGAACTCCTGCTCACGCAATCTTCGCTCAGTCTCCAGGATCTCCGTGTGCTTCCTCCACGCCGAGTCTGCATTCGGGAATGAGGACGATACGATGGAACTGGATTCCCGTGCCGCAGAAGACGCAAGACGCAAACTTTTCATAGTGCCATTGGCTTCCCTCATAGACATAGATGAGGCATCCACTGCGACTGTGGGTGAAGATCGCCTTGACATGTCGGGCTCAACGCCTTCCTGTACTTCCATCGCAACGCTGTTGGCCTGCGTGACTACGCGTGATATTGCTGGGGCCCATTCCTCCGAAAACAGCTTCACTGATGCCGAAAAATCATTCAATTCCTCTTCGTTGTAATTCCCCGGATTGGTTTCGTCGGAATTGCAATTCCACGCACCCGTCTCCTTGCTGGTCGGTGTCGGCTCCCCATTTTTTGCCGCAGCTGTTTCCTTTACAGGCTGTTCGTTGGAAGCTTCTTCCCAACGGTCTCCACAAGCATAGTCCGCCTCATTCCACGCAGTTTGCAGCTGACCCTTGAGGAGCTTCTCCCTCTCCTCGGGGCTCACCTCGGGGCCATAGTGGCAAACGAGGAGCTCAAGTAACTGCACCTCAGCCCCTTTGTGCTTCGCCAGAATATTTTCGATATCAGCGACACGTTCAGGGTCATACTTGAGAAACTGACACCGCACACGTTGCATTATGGTTTCCAAGGGCTCCTCCCCCTTGATCATCTCAGGCCCAAATTTAATTTCCAATGCATCAATAAGTTCATCATCACGTTCCTTGTATTGATCCACCTGCTCATCACAATAAAAAATCATGGAAGGACAATACTGGGCGTATACTGCACGAACACGTTCACGTGTGGTGCGTGGGCGTTCACCGTATTCTTTGTAAAGTGCATCAACAAACCCAATTTCGTTCCCACTCCACTGCCTCAAAAGGCTATCCATCTCACCCAGCATTGACTTGTCATGCCGTTGAAAGTAGCACTCTGCCAGCTCCATTACCTCATCGCTTCGAAGCGGTCTTGGCCCATACTGAATCGAAAGCGATTCAACCAGCCGATTCTCATTGCCAAAACAACGACGAATAGCGTCAACGTAGGACCCTTCAATGTCATAAAACTCGTAAATCTGCCTCACAGCATCGCAGTAGTACTCAATGGGTGGCAATCTTGTGACTTTCTCAGCCGTCTCGCAGTTTTCGTACAAAAAACGACCCGCCGAGGCTTCCCGAACCGGCCGCCAGCAATGAATCGGTAAAGGCTCAAACGGCAGCCGCTTCGGAACGTATCGCTCATCACCGTCACACTGCGTCAATTCGTAAGTTGTGCCAAAGGCCTCCACCGTCTGTAACGGCGGCGATACTTCACTGCCATCCTTATGCGATGGGTCAGCTGCACGCTCCGCATCAATGTCGGGAAGATCCCACGACTTGGCCTTTGTCGTGACATTAACATAAAATTCCTGCCCACTTTTCGGGTCCAGTTTCACAAGAAAAGTAAAGCTCATGTTGTCTGGCTGCGATTGCGGGGCAAGACATTGCCGGCCCTGTACATTGCGCACGATATAAAGTGTCGATCCTGACGAGCGGGGCTGAATCTCATTCACTGTCGGCATCCTTGAAGCTTCACACTGTGGTAAAACTCCCACACAAAAAAAAAAAATGAGAAGAGGAGCAAAACAGCAACCACAAGACACGAATAGACATATGACATGTGTCCCCTAGCTGGCACAATAAGAGAAAAGACGCTGCTGACGGGAACAAGAAAAAAAAATGTGTACAAATTAGAAGCCCAATGGGGTCAGTGTCTCGTCCCTCCGCACCACCTCATGCCCATCCCCGCCAGCAGAAGGAATAAGAAGGTACGGAAATAAGCAAGCAGGCATAATAGCATAGAGAGAAAAAAAAAAGGCAACCCACGTACTTTAACTCCCAAAAGACAATAATAATAAATGCACACCCTGACTCTGACACCCCTCCTTATCCCGAGTACGGATTCTCATCCTCCACGGACAATGCTCCATCCATATGGCGCAACTGCATTAAGGCATCGTTCAAAGCAAATTCTGCTGCAAGTTGCTCTCGTATGCGTTCAAGAAAAGGCCAAAGCCCCCTTTCTCCCCGCAGCACGTGCTCCTGAAATTCCTTCAGGGAAAAAGGCTGAAGCTGAAAGGAAGTAATAAAGTCCGAGAAAGAGGCTGCAGGAAACACTTTTATGACATCTTCCGCGTCTATATCGCCATTTGAAAGAAATGCCCATAAATATTTCTGAAATGGCATAAAAGAAACAAAAAATAAACATAAATGCCACCATTCCTGGGAAAAAGCCTGCCACACACGGGCCGGTAAGGAGGTGCGGCCGGCAAGTCTCAAGAACGGCAATTGGGAGAAAGAACATTCCGAGACGATAAAACATTTGATATGAAACAACTGACGCAAACGTTCAAGTCCGTCAACTTTTCCATCTGACCGTTTGCCCACACATCCCATGACCGGCGGATCGTACGGCACAACGCAACCATTCAAGTCTTTTGCCAATAACGGATAGCGTTCAAAGAAATGTGGCATGGAGGCAAAGGAAGCCGCTACTGCACTGTACACAAGCACGCTGGGAGCCGTGAGGTAATTTAGTAACCGCACTAAGGGAGCTCTTTTATGCGATACACCCACAGCCTCCGGGGTGTATTCAATGTTAAGAACACGTCCAGTTAATTGATACGCCTCCAGAAATGTTAAGTCCCCCAGGTGTTCTCTCATAAAATTCACAAGAACGTGTATATTGAAAAAGTATCCTTCGTTCCACAAGCGTTGCCACCGCCAGTCAAAGAGTCCCAAGGTTGCCTTGCTGAATGTGGAAAACGCAGCCTCGTCTACATCAAACACCTCCGCCAAATTTCGTTTGCAACACAGAAATGCTGAAACGAGGGCACCTGTTTTTCCACCGTAGAAAAATCTCGGTAACAAATTGGCCTTCCAAAGCGCCTTTGCGGCACCAAAATGAAATTGCCCCAGCATCATATCCCCGTGAAAAACAAGAGCTGTGCTGCCATACACACGGGCCACATCCATGAAAGTAGAGTACCTTTTCCTCGCATCAACAGAGGTGTCCCGTGCAAGCTTTTGAATCAGATACACAAGCAGGGAGTTGTATGCCTCAATGACTGCCTTGGTGCCTGAGAGATACCTGTAAAGATTTGGATTCGTTATGCCAAATACCGAGCGCTGAAGGCCAGTTGAGAGAACAGCCAACAACACCTCCGCGTCTCCTTTCCTCTTCAGGGTTGTCAAGAGCCCAATGCGGCCAACAAGTCCATCAAAGTTCATGAATCTTGACTCCCCCTTTAATCGCCAGGCCTGAAATCCGTCCAACTCGTCTAGTTGGCGGGCAATTATTATCCATTCATCGTACGTTCTAGCCGCCTGCGCCTTTTTCTTCAGCACCAATTGCGTCGGTGACCCCAGCGGAATTCCAAACACGCCAGCAGCAACCTCACACAAAAGATCCAACGCAATCCGTAGTATACATATCAAGCTATGAAGAAATCCCCGACTAATCATCAACTAAGAAGCCCACACACGCCAACACTAACCTAGTTGTGCAATGAAAAAAAAAAAAAAAAGGGAAAGAAATCAGTTGATTATTACTGCATGGAGCAGGATATCCAAAAACAAAAACCATACATACATACATATGATGGATACTTGCATTGGAAATAGAATGCCACCACGACGCCAAAACCAGGCGCAAAAAAAAAAAAAAAACGAAAACTTCCACAAATTCGCACGCACGCAAACCGAAAAACTGAGAAAATGAAACAACAAGAAAACAATTGCAGCCCACCACCACCACTGCTCACCGTCCTTCAGATAGATTGTCGTTCTCCACACCAGGACCGTCCTCTAGATACTGCGTTAAATGCTCTGAACCGCCCATCGTGCCGCCATTTACACTACCTTCCATTATCCACCCAATTCGAGGACTCACAGGATGATCGTACATGGAGTCAAGATCAGCAGCATACGCCACACCACTTTCCTGCAGAGACCCCTGGGTTTTATGAAATGCTCTCGGGTACGGGATCCTGTAGTGGACACCAATCTCATAGCGCATCTCCGCCTCACGCAGCTTTCGCTCTATAGTTTCAATGTCGTTAATGCGTGCGTTTTTTCTAAAAAGCCTCCGTGCTTCCTCCAGCACATACAATGCATCCTCGTCCGTCTCCCATGGCACAGAAAACGACGCCTTCAGAAACTTTCTGTACCATGAAATGACCTCGCTTCGGTACGGGTTATGCCGGAGAAAGATCTCCCCTGCACCGGCCGGCGTCATCCACCGTAAAGGTGTGCCAGTGACGCCTCTCCTCGCCCGCTACAAGCCCACGACCCTACAGAAAGAAAACAAAAAGCAAACAAGAAAAAGAAAAGCAAGAGTAAAAATTGCCCCGGTACAACGCACACATCAAGAAAATCCATAAAGACATTTTGCACACACACACACACGCAGAGAGAGAGAGAAAGAAGGAATATATAAAGATGTATTGGAGAACAACAGCACACGCCAGCTTCTATTGGCGTCTGTTTTTTCCCCAATTGCTGAAAGAAAACACACACACACACAAAAAAAAAAAAAAAGAGGGAAAGGAAACTTATTCATGCATTCTCTACTTCCACCTATCGGCTCCAAAAACAAAAACAACAACAACAAAAAAAAGCTACGCAATTGAAGGTTTTATGGGGGCTTGTTTTTTTTTCCTGCTTTTATTATTGTTTGTATTTATGCCGCAAAAAAAAAAAAAAATTGCAGAACAAATTAAATACAAAAAAATTTTTCAAAAATATAAAAATCACAATTTTTCTTTTTTTTTTTTCCTTTTATTATCCGTCGTCCTTCCTGAAGCATCCCACACGCATGTCCAATGCAACCGCCCAAGAAAAAAAAAAAAAACCATTTTCGCCTCGTGATTCAAAAATTGTGTTCCCTTAAAACGTAAAAAGGCACACTCCTCACGCTACTCGCCCCAAAACAATAAAGGGAAAGCAGGTGAAAGAGAAAGCCGCCAAGAATATCAGTCATTTTCGCCTCACACTCTTCGTACTCAGTTAGGTGCCTTTAATTGAGGAGGACTCTCGCAAAAATTGGCCCCCCATTGGCGAATAACAACCGCCGCAGACGCATGGCCCACTTCCACACAGTGGTCAATGTTAGAGTGGGAGAGATACTGTGCCAAAAACCCACCGGCAAATGCATCCCCAGCGCCAGTCACATCCACAACGCGCGTCTTATCCAAGGCCGGCACAGAGTAGGCAAGGACGCCATCTTCAGACCCCACAAGAGTTTCTTCCCCACCGCACGTACAAACTACGAGACGTGGATGCGAAACACTCTTCTTAGGCAGTTGAACCAAACGCATCAGTATCGCTTTTATGTCACCCATAACCTCGCCGCCCCACATCATGTCACTGAACGCAAAAAAATCCTCTTTGCATCCAAAAAGAATATCAGCATATGGAAGAAGAAGTCTTAGTCTATCACCAAAGGCGGTGCTTATATACGGAGCATTGAGGTTAAGGCAAAATAGTTTCTCCTCTCTTTGGGCATGTTCAGCCACAAGCATTATATTATTCGGGCTAGAAATGGTATTTAGAAAAAAACCCTCAGTATAATAAAAACCAGCGTTTTTAATCGCTCTCTCCACCTCCAAACTTTTCATGTGCTCGAAGGAGAGTTGGGTGGCGGCGCCAAGGCTAGCCAACATGGACCGTTCCTTGTGGACAACCAACGAGGCACATACTCCGGTTGGAATTTTTTCGTGATACTCGAAAAGATGTTCCACCCCAGCGGCATCCAGTTCCCTCGTAAGGATTTCGCAAAACCGATCGCAACCAATGGCACCCACAAAACAGACGCTCATTTCCGGGCAAATCCACTTCACTGTGCGAGCCGTGTTCATAGCAGATCCACCAGCGTGATACACCGTGTTTTCCGAAGATAAAAGCGTCGTAAAAATTGGCATTTGTTCCGACTCAGCGAGTGCAACACTGCCCTCACAAATGCCATAAGATGCCAAGATCTCCACCGAGGAACTGGTCAACATATCCAAAAGAGGATGGCCAAAAAACAGGCCTCTGGCAGCATGGCCTTTCGGTTCCAGTTTAACAGCGGCACCGTTTTGCATGGGCCCAAGCGCCTTGAATTGATCCTCCCCCGAAAATTAACGAGGCACAAAAAATATAAACATACGTATACAACATACATACATATATTGTAATAAGGAGAAAAAAACAGAAGAAAAAAACGCATTCAAAAGAAAAAGAATCCACTGCATCAAATTTCCGCATCTTTGCAGCAACCACTAACTCTGCAGACAGATAAGCCACGCCCACACAGAAAGACAGAGAGAGAGAGAGAAAAAAGAAGGGGGCACAAGCAATACACTCAAAATTCGCAAAAAAAAAAATGCAAAAAAACGGTCCACCAGCAAAAAATAACTTCAACTACCAAAAAATATATATATTTCGATAAGTCGTATAAACGGCATTATTCTCTTTTTGTGCCTTTTACCCTCTTCTCGAGGAGGGGTCTGGCAAATCACTTGGGAAAATGGCTGTACGACAAGCCTTGCACACTTTGGAATTCAACAAATAAAGATTCTCGCGTGCCTCTTCAAGTTCGGCGTTAAGTTGACGTACGATTGCTGACTGTTTGTTCATTTCTTCAAGCGCCTCGTTCTTGCGTTCATTGTATGTTGTCTTCATCAGTTGATCCTCCTCCTCAAGCATCTGCAGTGTCCCATTCAGTACCTGGTTTTGCTTTTCTACTACAAGTACATTGTTTTTGAGGCGATAAACTTTTTCTTGTACTAAAGCCAGTTCATTCTTCATCTCTCCACGCTCTTTTGCCATTTCCTGATGGGCAGCAAGAAGATCCTCCGTCTTTGCGTGAAGCTCCTTCGCTTGCCATATGTTCTGTCGTCCAGTCAAACTCTTCTCATTGGCAACCGCGTTATTGAGTCGTGTCAGTTCCTCCTCCGCTCTCGTCAGCTGAAGTGAAGCTCGAGTAG